TTATCATTGTTTTTGTCGCTCGTAATGTATGACCACGCCTGCATATTAAACTCGTTTAAATATGTGTAATGAGCTTCATATTATTTTGAACAGTAAGAGGAGGAGGTTTTGCACTTTGTCAAGGTATACCTGTGATTGTTGTGTTGGATATTAATGATTATAGTGCCACTTTTTATTCGATAAGGAAGGCGGCATCATTATTTTTGTTGAAAAGTTTTTTTGTTATGGCTTTCTTAGGGCACCTTTAAAATAGACGCATGAGAAAGTGCAGTGGCAGAACCGTGCCGTATGAAGACGCCCTTAGGGACTTTCCTGTATTCAACTTTAATCTTGTATATTCTAATCTCAGTTCATTGAGTGAAAGAGATTCATAAGTAACCAATTTTACAGCCCATTTCATTAGTCACGCGAGCGCGCGATCATCTTATTTTAAAAAGACAAAGATGAATGCACTTTTCATATCGGCATTTCTTTACATCTTATTTCAAATTACTATACATCCATATTTATAGAGATGGACTTAAGTTTTGAGAACATTAAGGTTAGTTGGAAGTTATTTTTTGGTTCTTTCAATATTTGATATCGTAAAACTGGGACGAGTAAGGAACGTTAACTCCAAACAATATGTATGTAAGGTTATACTTATGAATTGTAAAGTTCCCCTGTAATTTCTTGCTCTGAAAAGGTCATTAAGTGTATTATAGAATTCAAACAAACTAAAACACGACTTGAACTAATATTGTGCAGTTTGGTCACGCACGACGCAGCTGTTCAGGAATTGGTAATATAATAGTGCTAGGTGTTGTGCAGGTGAACCAAATAGCGACCCAGCGCGCCGCAGTGGCCATTGATTACAGTGCTAACTGCTGGCTAAATAGATGCAATTAGTTCTAGTATTTAATTATGTTAGTCTGCAGGAGCTATGAGCTGGGGCACCGCTTTCTCCGGATCCTCATTTCAGCTCAGCCTAATATGGGTAAGTATTACAGCAAGACTTTAATAACCGCTTCTAAGTGTGTTTGAGCTAGAAGTTAGAACTGAATGAATACTAATAATAAACTCTTTGTAGCTTATGGTTGATTTTAAGTGTAGGTTACTTATTTGTGCAAACGACATGTTAAACTACACACTGTGGCATCCTACACCTACATATGATCGAGACGATTTTGTAACAAGAATATAGGTATAGTCTGATGAATTGTGCTGTCATCTGTATTTAAATTAAAAAAGCATAAAGATGGCAATCATTTCATATTTAAGTAGCATCAATAGAAAAATCGTACGTAGAGTTTTTTCATTAGCATAAACATCACAAAGCATTTGGTTAACTGTAACACATGTGAAACCTGTCACAAAATATTAAAATTGCCGAACATGCTTGGGTATGTCAATATTCATATTGCCGCGAAGTGACAAGTCCATAGAGCTGTCATGTAATAGTTTTCGTGACGGGTGTGATTTGAATTAGATGTTTCTCGGACTGGTATGAGATTGATTCGAGCAGGCGTCGGCTTGGGTGGCCCAGAGTCGGCCATTTCTGCTACACTACGCATCCTACATTAATTAGATAAAACCAGCTGCTCTAATCTTTTGAGAACACGCTCCTTCAAGCGACCGCGCATTTCTGACGCGATTTAGCAAACATTTAGCAACGGTAACTTTACTTTATCTTCGAATTTCGAGATTATCAATATCAATAAAACTACACGTAATTGACATGATTGCTTCTCAAAGAAAATAAAGACTTTTATGAGCACTCAGTAACACGAGTTCCAAAAGTATTTTTTGTATTCACCAAAGGGATTACCAGATAAATGAATTAATTACAGATTCAAATATCAGTTGAATGAACTCGGCTGGGAAGGCATAATTAAAATAACAGGTATCTCATACTTATTGGGTAATCAACATGATCGATGCAATTGGGCAGACGTCATAAACGGTGATATTGATTGCTCTTATGCATCCGCATTAAAGGTCAAAGTCGCGTTTGCGGTTATTTTAATTATCAAAGCTAGATATTAAGTAAATACAACTGGATGAAAACTTTTCTTTAAAGGATGATGGGCACAAATGTATGGAAAGTGGTACCCGCTCCAATAGCCATAACCAATATATATTTTAAAAGGCCTTTAGATATAGGAAAATGTCTGCTATGGGGCCAGTTCTAATTCACGTTTTGAAAGCAGGAATTCCACTAAGTATTATAATGAAAGTATAACACAATCATCCATGTATACGAGTATGTATTATGACTACAATCTATTAATATAACTAAAAGAAGCATTGAAAAGGAAAGGATTATACCTACGATGAACTATCCAAGCTATTAGCCCTTTATTCGCTTTCATCATCATCATCATGATCATTTTCGCCATAGGACGTCCAGTTGAACATAGGCCTCCCCCAATGATTTCCACTATGGCCGGTTGGTGGCGGCCTGCATCCAGCGCCTTCCCGCTACCTTTATGAGGTCGTCGGTCCATCTTGTGGGTGGACTTATAGTCTTGTGAGTTTATTCGCTTTAGCAACCCATAATAAAACCCTTAAGAAGTAATAAAACTCCAACCCCTTTATTAATAAAAGTTACACCCTAGTTGAACTCTGGCTTAAATTGACACTTGGTATGGAAATGTCNACTACACATGAAATCGGTCAAAAGTAAAATAAAATTTAATTTTATTAAGTTAGTATCATCAGAGGATAGCCCCGTCATATACGAACATAATAATTTGAATACAAATGTGCTCCGTATTATGTCCGTTCCGCCAGAGAATAGCCCCGACCATATACGAGACACAATACAGCACACAAGATTCGAACATGCACTTCAGTAGGTTTTAAAATATTATTACAGGTACACACTTCATTATGCTAGTATCATCAGAGGGTAGACCCCATCATATACGAACATAATAATTTGAATACAAATGTGCTCCGTGTTATGTCCGTTCCGCCAGAGAATAGCCCCGACCATATATACGAGACAGAATACAGCACACAAGATTCGAACATGCACTTCGGTAGGTTTTAAAATTATATTACAGGTACACACTTTATTATGCTAGTATCATCAGAGGGTAGACCCCATCATATACGAACATAATAATTTGAATACTAATGTGCTCCGTATTACGTCCGTTCCGCCAGAGAATAGCCCCGACCATATACGAGGCGCAATACAGCACACAAGATTCGAACATGTAGTAAAAAAAATGTTTAATACTATCATAATCTTTTGTACGAAATAAATGTTCTTTTAAAAATATATTGCTACATACCGTTGTTTGTGAGCTGAAGATGTGGATCACATTCCCGCTTCCGATTTATTAAAAAAAGTTACTTGTTGATCAATTACTTATTTATTCAGGATACTAATTAATACATTTCCAACATTATAACACCTTAAAGTTAGTACTTCTTGCTTTAAATGCTCCAATCGAACTGCCTGTCCGGCGGCATGCCCGCGATAAGGCAACTTCCCCTTCCATTCGTCAAAGTCAACCGGTTCGAAACGACTTATCGACAGCATGCCCCGGAAGTAGTCAAAATCAATACTTAAATAACAATTTATTCTAAATTACTAAATCGTATACAATCAAAATTCTAAAATCATTACAAATCTTTATTTGACAACTTAATATATTGTAAATAAATAAATATATTCATATCATTTTAGATTACAAACATCAAAAGGAGAAAGAAAAAGGGAAAAATAATAATAAAGTTGTCAAAAAGGCACACACTCAGTAACGTCTTGGCCCGTCTGCCAAGACACTGATTTTCAGTGGGCGCCTTTTTGTACGTAGGGGTTTACTACCATACTATTCAATAATAGTATGGTAGTAAACTGCTCTTGAGTCCTGATCCGAGCAAACTTTTCCATTACTGAGTAATCTATTTTCACTGGTACCTCTATATCTATACTATCTATACTAATATTATAAATGCGAAAGTAACTCTGTCTGTCTGTCTTGCTTTCACGCCTATTGGTTTAGGTTCAGTGGTCTGAACCGATTTTATGAAATTTGAGTCCCGGCCGGGAAAGGACGTAGGATAGTTTTAGATAGGACGTGCGCGATATTTTTTTTCTGTGACAGACAATTTCATTCGCGCGAAGCGGGCGGAAAGCTAATATTTAATAAATTGGTTCTATGACACTGCACTGTACTGTAAATTTTTTTTTATGTGACAGGAGGCAAACGAGCAGACGGATCACTGATGGTAAGTTATTAAATTTACCGTCGCCCATAGATGGTCGTCGTACATGGCTTTATCTCGAAATTTTAGTATGATAGGTACAACTACAAGTACTTTAAACAGTCTAGTAGGTACAAAACTAAACGCCTCAATGTAACTTATGTTATGTTCACAAGTATTTCCAAGATAAGTTACCGTGTATTGTAATATCTTACACAAACATAATAATATAGACGACGTGTTTCTGCGTCGATTCACAACTCGGCACTCTATTCATAGGCTATTATCAAGATTGATGTGGCAACTATTTATAACAGTTTGGTTACTCAAACGCAATCCATAAAGAAAATTGATGTAGAAGCCTCCATTTTTTCCATAGAAGCATGTAGGAAATTTCCTTATTGATAAATAAAAGACCCGTCGTGCGTTCTATACTGCGTTTATTATTCGACTGGCGGCGAGAGCACTGGACAAACAGAAATGTGGATACCCACTTTAAACAATATATTGTGTCACATTACTTTTATGTGAATACCTTACAAAACTTAATATTCATAACATCTCCACCCTTATTTAAAGATACATACACAAAAATATTATCTAAGTATATTATATTATACTAGCTAGGTAGGTAGGACGTATTTTCGATACATTATAAACAAAATGTATTTATTCACTTATATCTAAGTTACTTACTACAAATAACAAATCAATTTTACACAAATTAGACAAATACTAAATTATTATTTTTTTACTGATCGTGTGGTTAACCTACACCGCAAAGATAAGAATGATACTAACTAATCAATTTCAAAACCATATCGAACTGGTGGTCTACGTATCCTACATTCCCGGTGTGGCGGTCCCGGGCTCGCCGGCGCCGCCTCCCGCGGGCCCGCGCGCGCCCCCGCGCCCCCCGCGTCCGCGGCGGCACCGCCATCGCCGGCGGGGGCAGCCGCGGCGGGCACGGCGACGCACACTGAGCTCGCGAGAGGCCGCGGTTCTTCCGCGCCGAAACCATCGAGCCCCGAACCCTCCGATCTAGCCCCAGCCACTGTTTTCCCTGATAATCGCTCGCCCATTCGCTCTTGAGTTGAATCTATCTTTAGCTCACGCCTTTTTAATTGGTCAACATGACGATGTACGATTTGCCCATCTAACGAACGTATGTGGTAATCGGTGTCACCTAACTTTTTTACAACTGTACCCTTTTCCCACCTAGTTCCTGTTCCAAAATTTCTATACCACACGTCTTTCCCTTCCTCAAACGAACGTAACCTACCACCGGCCATACTTCCTTGCTTTCGTTGTAAATTATCAATTTTCTTTTCCCGATCTGGTTTTATACAATCAAGTCTAGTTCGCAAAGAACGTCCGAAAAGAAGTTGAGCGGGACTTTCTCCCGTGGTACTGTGACTGGTATTTCTATAGATCAATAAGAACCTATTCAAAGCTATATCTACATCTACTTGTTGGACCAAAGCTTTCTTAATAACCCTTTTACAAATCTTTACTGCATTTTCTGCCGCACCATTTGAAGCAGGATGATATGGGGCTGTAAATATTGATTCTATACCGTTACATTTATAAAAATCATTCATTTCATCACTCGAGAAAGGTGGACCGTTATCGCTGATTATTTGTTTAGGCAGGCCAAAACGTGCAAATACTTCTCTAAATTTATTTATAACCATTTTTGCGGTAGTGGTTGTCATTTTAAAAATCTCTATCCACTTGGTGGTCGAATCTATTATGACTAAGTACTTAACGCCATGAATAGGTCCCAGAAAATCAACGTGGATTCGTGACCAAGGCCGCGGCGGCCACGGCCACGCGCGCGGCTCGTGCGCCGGCGGGGCGCTCGCCAGCGCCGCGCACACCTCGCACGCGCGGCACCGCGCCTCCACTGCCTCGTCCACTCCCGGCCACCACACGTAACTCCTAGCCAAGCTCTTAGTTTTTACCACCCCCATGTGAGAATCGTGAAGTTCGCGCAATACTTTATTTTGACAACTTTCCGGTATGACCACCCGGTGACCCCACATAATGCAGTCTAATTCGCAATATAATTCCGACCTACGATTGTAATACGGTTTTAATTCCTTTATATCGACTTCATGTGGCCAACCATCACGAATATAGCTTAACACCCTACTTAGAATATGGTCTTTTTGTGTTTCCTTACGAATAATATTATAATCAAGTAAAAGGGCTTCAGATGCAAAATGAAGGTAAGTTTGCTCTGGATACTCTTCGTTTTTACCTGAGTTATCCTTATATGTAGATATCAATCGAGATAATGCATCAGCCGTGTTGTCGTCCGACTTTATGTATTCTATCGTAAAATTGTAGGCTGATAATATTAGTGCCCAGCGTTGTAAACGACTGGCTGTCATATTTGGTATTCCTGCCCCCGGTCCGAATATACTTACTAATGGTTTATGGTCAGTTTTTAATGTAAAATGGCGACCATATAAATACTGGTGAAATTTTTTTACCGAAAAGATTATGGCTAAAGCTTCTTTATGTATCTGGCTATAATTGATTTCTGGCGGCGTGAGCGCGCGCGAAGCGTAGGCTATGACGCGCTCGGCGCCGGCCGCGTCCCGCTGCGCCAGCACCGCGCCCAGCCCGTGCGGGCTCGCGTCGCACGTCAGCACCAGCGGCCTGTTTATGTCATAATATGCAAGCACTTGCGCCCCTTTTAGCAATTCTTTAACCTTATTGAATGCCCTTTGCTGACTTGGACCCCAAGTCCATCTAGAGTGTTTTTTTAATAAACTATACAAAGGGGCTAGCTGTTCACTCAAGTTTTTAATAAATTTCCCATAAAAATTGATCATTCCTATAAATGATCTTAACTCACTGACATTATTTGGGGGTGTCATTGATGTTATTGGTTTTATTTTCTCTGGATCTACCCTTATTCCCACTTTATCTATCACAAACCCTAAATATTTCACCTCATTTGAAAAAAAAGAACATTTTTGCTTTTTAATTTTTAAACCATATTTTTGCAAAATTTCTAAAACAATATTTACCGTTTTTATATTTTGCTCAAGGGTAGGTGTACTGATTAAAATATCGTCTAAAAAATAGCTAACATTAGGCACGTTTTTTAACAATTCATTCATCAATCTTTGAAAAATTCCCGGACTGGAAGCTAGACCATAGACTAATCTGTTATATTTAAAAAGTCCTCGATGTGTATTTATCACAGTTAACTGAGTTGACTCATCATCTAAAAGCACCTGGTTGTAAGCTTGCGATAAATCTAATTTCGAAAAATATTGACTACCGCTAATTTTAGAAAATACATCCTCTATCTTTGGAACAGGAAATTTGTCAACGAGCAGGGCTTGATTCAATGTGACCTTATAATCGGCGCATAGGCGAAGCGATCCATCAGGCTTATGCACAATCACCAGTGGCGTGGCCCAGTCGGAGTGGTCGACGGGCTCGATGATGCCGGCGCGCAGCATGGCGTCCAGCTCGGCGTCCACGCGCTCGCGCAGCGCGTACGGCAGCGGGCGCGCGCGGCAGAACACGGGCCGCGCGCCCGCGCCCACGCGGAGCCGGGCCCGCCCACCGGAGAACTTCCCTAGCTCTTCATTAAATAGCTCCTTGTACCTACAAAACATATCCTTTATTATTTTATCACTATCTACATTTTCCATGTTATTAAAAGTTGTTTCGGTGGAAATTGATATTTTTGGTATAGGTATGTTTAACTCTGCTAACCACTGGCGACCTAATAAATTTGTTGCGCCGTTCTGAATTACATAAAGATCTAATAATTTTGTTACTTTGCCGTAGGTAACATTCACTTCAAAAACCCCTAGGGGTTTCGCTTTTAAACCATTGTAAAATTTTAAAGTTAAATTACATTCTTTTAACGTGAAATTAGTGAAATTTTGTCTATATTCTTTATCGCTAATACATGATAATGCCGAACCTGTGTCTACTTCCATATTAATTAATTTATTTTGTACACAAATTTTAATGTTTACCGGCTTGTAGTTCCCAAGTGACATTAAGTACATGGGCTCCTCCTCCTCCTGTTGCTCGCCGTGCTGGCCCTCCCGGCCCTCGTCGTCCTCCTGCACGTAGTGCGCGCGCGCACCGCCACCGCCGCCCGGCGCCGCCCGCCACCCGGCGCCGCGCCGCCCGCGCCCGCTGGCGCTCGCCGCTCCGCCACCGCGCATGCCACCACGCACCGGCCCCCCTCGAACCTTGTTTCCGTCCTGAGGTTTCTTTCCAAGTGGACATACCCTTCTCAGATGGCCTATTTTTCTGCACCGACTGCACTCAAAAGTACGATAGCGGCATTCGTTCCAGTAATGTCCTCCGACGCCACAGGCGAAGCACCCCGTCACTTTCATACGGTCCATCTCACTAAAAAGCCGATGTACGTCCTCTGTTTCATTCGAGCCGGCGATGCTGGAACGCCGTCCCCGCGCTGCTGACGTCGCTGTATAGCGGTCTCCCGCGCTGTTGTAGGTAGTTACCTCCGCCGTATCCACTACCGATGCATCCCGGGCCGCTGACTCGATAATATTGGCTAATTTATTTGCATTTGCCCAATCCAAATTTTCTTCTGCGAAAAGTCTCTGTCGTATAGTATCATTACGTAGCCCACACACGAACTGGTCCCTTAGGTTTTCGTCTAGTCTGTCCTTGAAGTCGCACGACCGTGACAATCGTTTCAACTCAGCCACGTATTGAGTGATTGTCTCACCGTTATGTTGAAATCGCTGCCTAAACACATATCTCGCAGCCAGTATAGATGTCTTTGGCTGCAAATGTTCCGACATAAGCTTCACTACGTCATCATATTTCATTTCGAACGGTTTTCTCGGACTACATAAATTCACCATCAATTCGTATGCCGATTCACCAATAATAGATATTAATGTCGGCAATCTATTTCCCGCCGCGATGCCATTCGCCACAAAATGCATTTCTAATCGTTCACAATATGAAGTCCAGTTTCCTGTGTCCATGTTAAATTCACCGAACTTAACCGCCATATTTTTTTACCGTCCTCGTTCGCCACTGATAAATAAAAGACCCGTCGTGCGTTCTATACTGCGTTTATTATTCGACTGGCGAGAGCACTGGACAAACAGAAATGTGGATACCCACTTTAAACAATATATTGCGTCACATTACTTTTATGTGAATACCTTACAAAACTTAATATTCATAACAACTACAAACATAACTATTGGAGCCGGGTACCATTCTGCAAAAAAGTATGTATATCTTCGTACACAACCAGATCTGAGGCTGGTGGTCATAGTAAAAGTTGTTCATCTTGGTAAGACCTTTCAAACGATACTAGACACATATCTATTGGAGCCGGGTACCATTTTGCCCATTGTCCTTTATTTTATTTATTGCTGTCCGTATTACTATAAAGCTACCAGTGTTGATAATCAGAAACATCTATAGTAGGGTCAGAGGTAGTTAAGAGTCTTTTATAGAGCTCGACTCTACAACAAGCCCTAAACATTAATAATCTCCCAGCTTGACTCTGCCAATTTAATTCTTTCCACCTGACCCCAACCAGTCAACAACACACCATCAATTGTAAAGTATTGCCAGTTTGAAATTTATTAGTTCCCGACGTACTTCGATATGAAATATAGAGGTTACAAGTATAAGGATCAACCTGATAGGGTCAATTTCTCTGGGTCTTTAGGTCTTGTCATAAGTTACGTTAAAGCGGTTAAGACGGCATGAAACTAAACGATTCATGAGGTCATGTTATTAAGATTGGTTATTTAAATAAATTGAGTTTCAAAGTTTGAATTTGGTGCCTTCATAATTTAACATACTAAGGGTGGATCCGACCAAAAAGAGTAAATATCAATCTCAAAATAAATCAGATAGATATTTCCCATACTGAAATTGTCAATGTGCTAGTTATACCAGAGTTATTCTCAGATATAAGTTTGGTCGAATCGAGCCTAAGTAAAATAGAGTTCCGCAGAAAGTTTTTTCAAAAGAAGAAACAGCTCTACATTGAGGTAGGAAAAACAAAAGATAACGACGTGCATTTTCCACATTTTTCACAGCTCATGGGTAGTCTTTCATCTCTATGCCGGAGGCATAAATGTGACAAACTAATATCTTTACATTCAGACCCGTAGGTAAAGGAAAACATATTTACTCATGTTAACATACGATAAATTAATAAACAAGTCATTGGATATATTAAACAATCTTCGTTAGTTTCCGGCAATGAACTAATTTACCATGTTAGTGAATATATTACGCTTAAGGCCCTTCTGTTTGATCGGCTACTTAAATCATAAAACGATTATAAGATCAACAGACTTCAATTTCCGATTAACTATATCAAAGAGCATGTTATAGATCAAATTAACCATTGAAGTACCTACATTTATTGCCTACAATCTGTGTACAGCAGCGACAAATAGTTCGTGTCATCCAAATTAGCCAAAAAGTTGATAACCCAACCTTATTCAAATTGTAACAAAGACGTGTTGCTAACTTATTGGCTACTTTGGGTGTCACGAAGTATTTGACGCTGACTGTACATAAAATATTGTCGCTCACAAATTGCAGTGAATTTATAAAGACAATCTAAACAATGTCTGTAATCAATTTATCATTAGGAAAAGCATTTAGGTTTAAGTGAAAAAGATAAACATTTAACTGAAACTGTGCGAAAGCCGGCACGGCGGCGATCTAACGTCTAAATAATGCGCGATTAAGATCACTGCTTTGAGACAATGCTCAGTACATGAATTGCGTGTACATCCGCGGTGCGCTTGATGTAATTAGAGGACGACGGAGGCGCAAGCGCAGCCAGGGCTGCCAGAAGGTGTTGGTTAAGTGTGGGGACAGTTTTTCTTGCAGAATATTACACCTATATCGGTAGTTGCGCACTGTTTTAAAGGAAGATGTGTAGTAATTTTCAAGGCATTTCTCTGTTTAAATAATAGCATACTTTTGCTACGATATGAGTTTAGATACGTAAGCAAAGTTATGTCTCTCTTAAGGTGTTCAATATGAAAATTGAAATAAATTAATGTTCATACTAAAGCTTTCTGGCGGTCAACAGTGGCCAAGGACTTAGAGCGTGCCCAGACAAATATTTCGACAACCCAGGACAGACTGACTGGATAGGACTGTCCTGGGCGCCTCAGAACAAGGAGAGCCGACCCTAAATAATGGGAAAAAGGGCTTGAGATAAGAAGAAGAAGACTAAAGCTCTCTCACAGAAATAAAAAAAGCTTGGTTTAAAAGCTTACCTCAGTTTGTTCTTTGTCAACCTGTTTGTAAAAGTTGCACACGTCACTATAGCTGAAAAAGCTCCAATTGAATGTAACAGCCCTGAACGAAGGCAGTAAAGCGAACGCTATCTCGGCATCCGGCGCCCCGTATCGTGTGAGAGATCGGGCGCCCGACCGATCGCCCGCCACACCAGCGCGCGATTAACAATAAAATACCTGTTAAAATATTTGTTAAAACCGACCACCGCGATCTATGGGCACCATCGATGCGTTTTCGGATTCGCATCATGTAGCACGCAAGGCAGCCAACATAAAAGGGAAGCGCGGCGAGATTCTTCTGAACACGAACGTTCTCTATTTATTTATTAATTGCTAATTTAAAATAACCATTTAAGGAGAACATATTTAGTTAGCACGTTCCACGCATTTTTTGTTGGGAAAGTTTTTACGCTGGTCAGATTTTTCTTCTAGTATCTGCTGTCAGGTTAAAACATAAATAATTATTGAAAAATGTGTTCGGAGACTGTGACGTAGCAATTGCAGTGATGTCAAGCAACACCGATAAGTGACGCTACTCATAGATTAACAATTTATGTAACGTTAGAAGAAACTAGTAGCAGCATGTTACAGTATTATGACATGATTGCGGATAAATGCGATTGAAAAATCGCCCTAGGGGTAGGTAAAGTTGTGCCGTAGTCGTAAGCGATGAGAGAAACGCAGCGCATGCAGCAAGTCGCGAGGTCGAGCGATAAAATGATGTCTTAAAATGTGAACACGAGTCGCATGGTCGATTTTCAGAATTTCATCAAATATGAGGCATTTCTCTGATTACTTATTCATAATTTTCCCTTTATTCCATCTAGTTTTGATTTGTTTTTCAAATTGTTTGACTATCGAACTACTGGTAGGACTAGATGGAATACAGGTAATTTTCAAATCCTGATTATTCTGTAGACGTTTTTTTTTTTTCATATTTATAAAACCATTTACAGAAGTACGGACTAGGTATATGCTATTATGTAAACAATAATCTTTGGACAAGAACAAGAAACAAACGTTAACACAATTCAGAACAATAAAAGTCAACAATTTATTAATATTACGGTAGTCTTCGTCTCGTTTCAAGATCAGAGAAGTTGCTTTACTGTGTAGTGTCATCAAGTCTGCCCGCTTACATCGAGGCTCCGCCTCACTATATGTCGGAGTCATAAAGTTGGAGGCGTTTCGCGATCCGGACGGTTGGTAACGTCAAGTCCGCAATAACTGTTGATAATTAAGACTGGTGGCGCAATGGTCAGTGCGATGGCAAGTGGTAACGGTGCGCCCGCGCACGCTTCCGCGCTACGCCCATTGACAACGTCGCGCGTCACCGGCGAACAACTACCGTCTGTTTACTCATATGCGACGTATGCTTGAGTTCATAACCTGCAAATTGTTCGGCAACATTTTCTCCATTAGCCTTGATGAATAAAGATAATATCATGCTCGACAAATGTAAAGCAGAATCTGAGCAGACTAACGACTTGAAGAAGATAAGGCATAGGCTAGATGAGAAAAGCAGGAGACCGTGCTCTATCATGATGATGTATAAAATTCATCATAGCAGGATATGGTTTGAGATTGAATGAATACTGTACGCGCCATTAGATTCGTCATTTCATTAAACATTATACTGATTAGCTAATATGCTATAGTTTGTAACTTTTCTGTTTCTTATATCTCGGTCAGTAATTAATAATCTTCAAGTAGCTTATTTTTTCAACCTGATAATGATATCATCGAACTGTTCACTAACTAATATTGAGATCCGAAAAATATTATTTCAAATTACAACCAACTTCTTTTTGAGTTTTTTAAGCAATTAAATGGAAAAGTACATGTGTAAAAGAGCTTTTTAAAGGCCAACTTACTGAGAATGAAATGAATTTATGAATTTATATTGCACACGTAATAACCATTCAAAGTTCAAGTTGCACAATTCGCGGGAACTAAACAGTACCCACCTGTGTAATTATGGACGTAGGTAGGTACTTAAAGAGTTATTATCAACATCATTTCTGAGCAATACATCAGTATTGTACTTAAGCTATAAACTTTTTAACAAAAAAAAAATGCACTACTACATAGAAATTTCAGTCTTGAAATTACTTTTCGCAGTAAAAGGGGAAATATCTTAGATAAAAACACCACACTTGATTATTTATTGATTTCAAAGATACTAAAAATCGAATTAGGTATACAGCAAATAAAAATCAAACACGATTTTGAGAGAAACATGAAGTGTTTTACAAAGAAGTTGCATCTTCGAATTATTGGTGTCAATTACCCAATTCAGTTTTCACTGAGACATACTTCTGTTAAGCGTGTTTGATTAATAGGCCCAATGCTAATTCACGCAAATACCAGGACTGTTTGGACGGAGTCCAATTGGCCGAACGAAAGCAAACCCATTAGACCAGAACAAAGGAGTTTAATCAGTGCGCATGTACCTTTCTCTCCGCTGAGTGCCATCATTACTGGCCATGTGTGCCGCGCCTGATGAATGAGGACATATTACTTTTACACTTTACTAATATTAGCCCATGTACGTGAATTGCAGAAACATAACCCACACTTAATTCACTTATCTATTGAAGAAAATTGCAACTCTATATTTAGAAGCGATGCTTATAAAGGCAGAGTTTATACACTTTCATTTATCGTACCCGAGAATACCAATTTCCATTTCGATGTTTCAATGCGGCATCGAATTTTAAATTCATTCGAAGATGATTTATGTTATGAATTAGTAGGATACGGAGCGTAATAAGCATATCAATGAATTGCAACGAATGTAAATACTACACGGGTATTATGTACATAAATGTTTTAAAGGGACAGAA